ACCTAATGCAATCATTTAATATTATCACTTGATGAAGTTGCCCAAGTGAATTGTTGGATGACTAGTAATAATTATGACGCGAACCGAGGAACGACATTTGTTGATTGAACAAGATTTTCATGATTAAAAATATAATAAAACGCGGTAACAATGGATTGTAATAAACTTTTCCGTTTCACAACACAACAATGGATCGTAAGCAGTCATAATACGGTTGATGCAGCGGAGAGAAACGATGATCCGAAGGCGAATCATGGCATCGTGTGCTCTTCTTACGATTAGCTAATGCCGAGCGCAGCATAACTGAGAGGTCATATCACGCCTCGCCGCAATAAGCTGAGAGATTCGTCGGTTTCCCGACCCACCCATCTTCATTCGATGAACAATAAAGATAATAATCGATAAACCCCCGCTCCGAGGTTTGTCCGCCGGCCCGGCATTCCTCACCGTAACATTCTTTAGTAATAACCAATATCAGATCATCTTATAAATAATAAATACATTATTTTACATGAAACGTATGTTCAGTTAAGACGAAACGTGACAGGGTACATTATCTATCATCTGACACATACTGAATAATTAATAAACGACCCAAAATATGTCTTCTGTCCCATTTATATAATTTTACCTCTAATAGAATTCTATTCACCTTTTATGCAAGTATTGACCGCTTTCTTCTTCGGTAGGAATTGTCCGAAGCACAAAAGGGACGCGGAGCAGAAGCTCAGTAGGTCCATTGAAATGCAAATGTTACCGTAATAAAGCGACCGTAATAAAAAAATTTAATAGCCTTCCTATTGCTCATGAGTCAGTGACAGAGTGCCGGGTTACCGTAGAATTCGATACCAAGTGGATTAATTGTATAAGATCGTTGAGCAATGGCAAAGGAGATCTCTTAAGCACTATTGCATTTTCTGACCCTCCACCGGTTTCCATGCTGTTGTAACTGTAATAGCACAGTACGCATTTTTCATGTACGCTCAATCCATGGCCGAATCATTATAAAAGATTTATGTAATAAGACTTCAGATTTGGTGGATTCATAAAACTTTGATGTACATGAATACATGGATTGCATATATGGACACGTTATTATTATTGAAGAGTAAAAGAAATGTAATATTTCATTCGTTTTTTGAACATCTCAAAGGACATCTCAAGAATTGTATTTTTTTTTTTTTAGTAATATATCATATTCATGTATATGGGAAGAAATGTGGATTTGGGGAAAGGGATTGAACAAAGGGGAGGAGGTGCGTCAGGTGGCTTGGGGAGTGTCGCAAGTCGCAAGACCGTTGCGTTGCATCCTGCTCGCGATGAACGCAGTGAAAGGAATGGGATACGCCCTGCGAGATGCGATGATGATGATGATGATCCGTGGCAAATCCGGCGATCTGAATCCCGTGCCGAGGTCAAACGCTCTTAGACCTTTTGATTAGATTTCACGTAGAATACAGCTGTTCCATTTGTACTTAAATGAATTTCGATTTAAACAGCAGGTTTTAACCCTCCACAGGTTCCCATAGTCATATAAGAATATTTAGTATATAAAGAGAGAAAATGAATATTATGCATAGGTGTTGACACTTTAAATATTTTTTTACATACCTAAAATTCTTAAGGTGTAAGAATCCGCAGTTCATTCATTACTCATCGTTTATAGCTTATTGTATACAAGCAGACAAGATAGTACATCCCACGAGCACCTGTGAATCTCTTTATTATTAAGCAATAAAAATTGTATATATTCAGCTATGTAATGTTTTATATAAATTATATTAGTACACAGGGTTGATCATTAAGAGATGTGAAAAGTGAAAAAAAATTGATTTATATTATACACCAAAAGATGTCAATTGTATACGTGTTATGATATCCATAGGGTAGAAGAAGAAATGATCTGCATTTGCTTGATCTTTAAAATCGATGCTTTAAAGATGTTATCTTGTAGAAAACCAGCAGGTTCCTCTCGTTAATTCCTTTCAGAAGTGCACGCGCTTCGTTTCCACAGTTTACGAATTACAGGAATTGTCTAAACATATTCTCTCACCTTCTGTATGTTCGGATAGATAAGTGGCGGGGCGGAAAGGAAGTAGTCGGATAGTATAAAACCGCGACGAGATCCGTTTCGTCCTGTATTCTTATTCGCGGCCATCGCTAGACAGACCCAACCTCGTCTTTACGTGACACAAATCTTCACGAAAACACGAGTGCTTTATCAGATTTTGAAAAGCGCGTCGCGAACCTCGTGGTACTCGACTTCATTCCGAGGATAGTGAATATTGATCTCTGCCCCTCTCGTCATGAAGATTCTTGTGAGTAATACACCTACAGGTGATTTTGTTTAATAATTAAATACNATATAATTATTATTCTTAAATTTATTATTTTATTTTTAAATATAAGTAAATTTATTAGTTTATTCTTAAATATAATTATTATTAAAAATTAATATAAAAATTGCTAACTCTGACATTATCGTTTCTTTTTATTTCTGTTACAGTTACGACACGGAGAATGGGATATCGGTAGCCGAACAAGGTGTACCGAAGTACGCCGGGCCTAATCAAATAGAATCTGTCCGTGGACAGTATAGTTATACTGCTCCAGACGGTACGCCAATTTTACTCACGTACACTGCCGACGAGAACGGTTTTCAAGCGAACGGCGCACATTTGCCCACACCACCCCCGATCCCAGTGGCGATACAACGCGCCTTGGCTCACAACGCGGCTCACCCTGAAGAGGAGGAACCCTACAGACGATACTGAACACGTTTCTTGATTGTTAATCTAGTAGAGCCTCTTGTCTCCTAACCATCAGAGACTTTTAGATCTCGATATTAAAAAATGATTTTTCAAACAAATCATCAGATCTCTATTGAATAATATTCAGAATCATTACCAGAAAGTGATTATGCTATTATTAAAAAAATGTCTGTATCCTAATAATTGATTTTAACTGAGAAAAGACGAATCGGATTTAGGAGGTTCTACTATGTTCATGAAGTTCACTGGGAATCTAGAACTCGTTTTTTAAATAACGTTCATGCTTGCATTTGGTAACACGTGGAATATTTAGTCAGACTTAATTTTACGTTTCGCTTCATCTATGAGGCGCATAGATACAATACAGTTTACAATTGTTAAAGGAGCAACTGTCGTGTCGCGATTAAGTTTTCCTCGATAACGTAGCCGATCGCAGACGATAACATGTTAATCCGTTAGAACCTGCCATGTGATTGAACCCAGCCAAGACTACTTACGTACTAAGACTAATAAGTATCTACCTTAATTTGCATAATTTTGTATAAATTTCGGAATGTACACGTTTTGTTATAAATAAATGTAATCCGCAGTCTAGTTAGAAACTTTTTAGAATAAAAAGGCGTAATGTTAGTTTTCGAGCGGCCTAATACAAAATTTGGTGAAAATTCATTTCGTGATTTCATTCTTTACATTACTCATATTCTATCGTAATTCCATTTTTACATGTGTTTACTGTAAACGTAAAATTACTACGATTCGTACAGTATAGCATTCTGCATATTTTCTTGCGTAACAAAGCGATGTTACCCTTTCTCTACAATGTCAATAGCAAGCTGTGCCTCAGCCCTCCCTTTTACTTTCGCACAGTTTGTTATAATAACATCAGCGTGGAATCTGAACCGCGGGCGAACGTCAGAATTGCTTTCCGTACCTTTGAACTATGAAAATAATTGCATACGTCGTTAACCAAATGACAAAAATGGCACTGCAACAATAATGAACGGATGCATCGAAAATGATAGCTTCAGGATATCTCAGAGGATACAAAGTTTCACTCCAATTTGCATAAACACCATGCTGGACCGGTATAATACGTTAAACTGTATCGGCATAATTGAAAATAGTAGCNATATACGTTATTAATATGAAACGTTGTTCAACTTGAAACCAAATAATGTGGAACCAAATGGGAAAAATAATGGGATATGTAAAATATTTTTAAAACGAATTCCATCCACCCTCTGACCCAGTGGGGTTGCCAGATTTAGTCGAAACGACATTCGCGTGTACTCCGATGAATTTGCCGGCAGGTGACAAACAAGCTGCTACCGTCTGGCATTCTTGACTTGAGATTTATGGGAGGAAACGCGAATCCCGCGAGATGCTGAGCGAGATAAAGGTGGGGCAAAATCGCGAGGGCGAGAGAGGAGAACGGTAAGAATTAGAATGGGAAGGGAAGATCCTCATGACCCGTCTTCGATATAAATGCTGCCGGGTACTTGTACACGGATTCAAAACAGATTCGATCTTGTACAAACGGACGTCGGGGAACATCAACTAGCGTCATGCAGTACATAGTGAGTGGTTTGTTCTACACGCATTGTAACGGCGTACTAAGAGTGATTTAGAACCCGAGTGAAACAGTAACAGAATTAATAAAGAAGTTCTGTAAAACTGTGGATATTTATGCAAACGAGACGCGATTTTGCAAAAGGAATCGTTGGACCCTGCATTTTGTGCAATGGACGATTTTTAATATTTTATGTTCATTGAATGACTCGATTTAAATCATATTGATTTTGCACAAAAATCCACAGTGTGACGATTATAAAAATTAAGTACTTCGTCGAATTTTTCACGAATCGAAAATCCCTCTAGGGATGCAAATATTCGAACTCCCAATCATTATCTTTGTTCTTAAACAGAGAATACGATGTTGGAAGACATTGAAGTATCGCAAGATTCGAATGAATCAAAGTATTTATTTATATAAATGAATCTTACGATTATAGTTATTGGCGTTTACTCTAATTGGATGCGCTGTGGGGCAATATGGTGCGTACCGGGGTTTCCCAAATCAAAACGCTTACAGGCCGAAGCCCAGGCCGACCGATTATCAACCGCAACCGGCCCCTCAATACTCGCCCCAGTACAAGTACGAACAATTATTTGTATTTATTCAAATTACTAATTAAAATTTCCAAAATTCTATAGAGCATTTGTATTGATTCACGAAATTTTATTTTCTTATTTAAAGAAGATTACTTCTTGAGAATCTAACTAAAATTGCACTAGAAGAAGAAAAGGATTAATCTTTTTGCTGATTCTCCCACAGCTCTCCTGGGAGATTTATAGCTATTCGTAGCCAACAGAAGGATACCTATCCCGACGGGTCTTACACGTTCAGCTACGATACCGAAAACGGGATTTCGGTCTCCGAGAGTGGACGTCCTCAAGGAACTCCGCAAGGCCAGAGCGAGGTAAAGATTCACAACGAATACTCATACGAAATTTTCATTTAATTAAAATATGCCTATTAAGATCACAATTCAAAGTTACCTCGACCGAAAATTAAGTTCAAGGCCGTTACGAGATTATAATACATATTTGAAAAATGAGATCTAGATAGAAATGGATTTTATGCTAGAAGCACACTCGTTGAGAGCAGCCGAGCACAAGTGTACTTGCATCGCTCGCCTTGCCTCACGCCAGTCCTTCGAATTGATTTTTTTTAGTAAAAGGCGCAAACTGCAAAGTGTAATAATTTCGCGACTTCGCAGGTCGTCCAGGGTAGGTACTCGTACACAGCTCCGGATGGCACACCCATTACCCTTGAGTACACGGCCGACGAGAACGGTTTCCACGCTCAGGGTGCTCATCTACCGACCCCGCCACCGATCCCCGAGGCAATCAGAAGAGCCCTGGCCGCGAATCCGCCAGGCCCCGGCGATGACTCGGGCGACTACAGACAACCGTACAACCCGAATCCTTATCGAAGATATTAAATAAACTATTGTATCAACTGATTCGAAACGCGAAAGTGGAGCTTCTAAGCCTTACTGCCCTTTATCCTGGCCTGATACGTATTTACATATGTATATAACAGTCACTATGAAATGAATAAATGGTTTTACCTCTTCTTTATTTATACACCCTTCTATCTGTTCTTCCATCATTTCTTTATAGCCAGTAAGAAATCTTACACAAAATCACTAATTATAAGAATCGTATTTTAAATAAAATTAATTAATTTCTGTACTTCAACAAAATCAAGTTCGTTTTTAACAAAATCAATAAATATATTATATCAGATGACAGTTTTTGTTGATTCTTTCCGCACTTTACCTTTAGCATTTCGTATACTGATCTCCCTTAACATTTAAAAGTGAGCTCGAATTATGTATTCGATTTCTTAATAACAGCCAATAAATTATAACTATTAATTGTAACACTGCCATTATTTATTGAACGCTGTGCTGCCCTAGGGTTAATTTATTCAAATCTACCCGACGTATTTATGTAATGCGAGTTACATAATCCGGATGACGTTATGCAGGATCGTCGTTATAACATTTCATACATTATGAACATACCTATCATAGAACCAGTGATCTTTCAGACAAGTGATCTTTTCGAAACGTTCCCTACGGGCCACGTAACGCGTTTGCAAAATTTTCCAACTTAAAGTATCGGATGCTTTCATAATTACTGTCACGTTCTTCTTAAATTACTATTTCGTACTTGTGACGATTAGGTCAATTCACTTTGTCGCTTGTTTGTCAAACAGGTAGTACTAGTACTACTGGTTTCAACGGTCTGATCTTAGACCTCGTTGGTAAATGATCATGTAATAAGGATTGATATAAAGCGAAGGATGTCAAATCATCGAGATAAATTGTGTATTTACTGAAAGTACGATTCTATAATTTATATTCGTCAATGTAGTAATCCATCATCTGCAGTGAATTCTTTAAACGATTAATAAAAAGTTCCCATTCGTAGTAACTGTTGAAACGGGTGTTACATTTTTCTGTAAGTAAAATTCTGCGTGACACTGTTATTTGTCGTTTCGGTTGCACGCGCGACGGCAAGTGGATGAGCCATTGAAATTGAAAGAAAGGAAGTCCACGGACTCCGCCCAGGTTGCGATCGGGCAGTCCTTGACCGGGATGATCCGCAACAACGAGAAAATGTGAGATAATGAAAGAGATCCGACAGGCACGTACACTTTCACCTGCGCTCATCTGACGGCCCGACCCTCTTCTTCTTCTTCTTCTTCGTTTCGCCGCAATCTTCACCTCCTTTGCATTACGTTACGTGTACCACCCCGGAGGCATGGTGCAACTGAACTTCAATCAACATGCTTTCCCGTAATATCAAACCGCTTAACGGAGGGGTTACGATTACACGTTACGTTCTGTGTTTCATTGTTTTTTCCCCGTTCGTCTGCTGATACTTGTAGCTGATTTTCCGTTGCACGGTAGCGCAATAAACGTTATCAAACGCTATCTTTCAGCGAAATTTTAGCCACTTTTCGCACGCGATATATTAAATACAAATTACAGTATGTACGTTATTTGTTGGACTGAGGATTTTCGAAATAAAATATTTGTGAAATCCCGATTGAGATTAAAAAATACATTGATTTTTCCTCATTATATATGCACCAAAATGCGCGAGATAATTTTCTAATTGTAAGCCGTGCAACACATTTGTTCATATATTTTAATGTTATGTTAACAGATTTTATTTTTATTAAAAATTCGTTAGTAGAGCATATCTGTTAAGTTATACACACATATTGCATGAGAGTCACAATTGATACATTCGTTCGAACCTCTCCGTGTAACTTCCCGTCTTCGCTCTTGATCCCAGCGGCATTTTTGTAGCGACCGTATCGTGCAACGCCTTGTCGACGCACTGTTTAAATCTTTCCACTTCTGGCTCACAGACAATCGTGTTACCCTTATTGTACTTCAAACATTCTGTCAACTAATCAATTAATTATCAATCGTCAATTATGTATACTTTATATCCAGTTATTTAAAAGATCGTAATACGTTAAATTATATTGTATTAATTTGGGCTTTGAATCCGTACTTTAATTGTGTCGAAAGGACACTTAAGCTGAGTGCTTGTAGTCACGTAAGTGGAGCTTATGTGGTTTAAAAGTTTCTCAGTTTGGGTGATATCTAGGCCTGTCGCAATTGTATGCTCCCAATCGAGGGTAGCTAATTTATCCAGCCATTGGCTTTCCGAAGTCGCAGTATCAACCTTACTATCTTCACATTTATCACATTACTTTTTATACGTCAATCAGAATGTTAAGTAACGATAGAAAGTTCATTCAAACATGTTTTGAGTAGCTACTTACCACACTTGAGTCTGTAGAGAACGGAGTTACTAATTTTGATCAAATTATTGTCTACATCTGCGTCCTTTCCAGTTTGGGGATAAGTTTCACTCATTTCAAAGATTTGAACGCATGAAAATACAACCTCTTAGCGCACTTGAATTTTTAACGACGTTTCAATTACGTCAAATCGGTTGAAAAAATTTGCCGGTCGCCTTTCTCACTACAGGGCGAGACGTTTAGAATGTAATAAACTTCCCGATTCCAGGATGCAAGCGTTTCAAAGCTCATTTATGAATCGGATTAAACATCTTAATAATTTAAATAATAACACAGGAATTGGTGATTTAATTCAATAATGCTTTATTATTTCTTTGGCGTGAAACAGTACATCGATTCGTGTAACAACAATTCAATATTACCGTAGAACATACGCGAAATAACTTAAGAACAACAAAAATGACATGGAATGCTTCTTCAATGAGATTCAAGTACATTTATACATGCGCGTACATATGCATATACGCAACGTACAAAAATAAAAAATGAGAACAGTGTACATGTACACATATAGCTATTAGAAAATGTTTAACAATATCTACTTTGATATTCGTTTACTTCGGAGCAATGAGACCTTTCAAACAATCAAAGGTGTTCCCGTCCGGATGGACGGAGAACAGCGTCCCATCTTCCCCGCGCACACGTAAATATCCAAACTCGTCTATGCCTAAAATTTTAACGTTTTGAGACGTGCCTGACGCCGACAACACCGTCACCTCCGTATCACTATAAACGAAACGTTAGATCTTGATAAAAACTCCCATTCAATTCGTCTAACATGAAATAGTTCATTACTTTATTTTATACAAATGTATCATTATATTGATTATCGTTTTATAAATTATATCAATTATCGCATTGAACATTATAAAAAAAATCACACCAAATATTGTATTAAGCATTACATCGATTATTAAACGTTATATTAAAAGATAGTAAAAGCACTTACCTGTGCATCCAATATTCGTAATAAGCATCCAAGAAGAGATCGACATCTCCGCTTTGCATAACGTCCAGCCATCTTTCGATCTCATTAAAGACAATAGCAAAGTATTGTTCGTACGAAATCATCTTCACGTTCTTGCCAAATGTTCGATTGAACTCATTGATGATATCCTTGATGCAGATCGTGGGCTCCGTATTAAACAAATTGAAGCCGATCCCCACGTTGCAGACAAGCAAATTCGATAATACCTGCGTGGTTATTAGCATCCCTCCAATTTTTATATTGCCAACGTAAATATCATTAGGCCACTTGAGTCGCAGATCCAATTCTTCGTAACCAGGTTGGCTTTTAAATGCGGATATGATCGCGACGGAGATTAAATGTTGTAAGATCGATATTCTTTGCCCGACAATGGTGTTCATTTTTATATGAAGTTGTAAAGTGAACGTGGCGGATCCTTCCGGATTTAGCCATACATTCGTCCCTCTTCCCTTACCGTTTGTCTGTTGACGTACGATCACAGCCAAGCCATGCCGCAACTTGTGCCCGTTAAATACGTCCATAGATGATGTCATCACGTCCGCGTAGATCACCAAACGTCCCAGCTCTGAGGTCTTCAGGCTGTCGAAGTATTCCACGGTGGAGAAGTTTTCGGGACACTGATGCATCATAATTGGAAGAAAAGTGGAAGAGGCCGAGCGAGAGGTCGCGCTCCGACAAAACTGAATCTCCAATTTCGACGTTTTCAACGTATCGTTCTGCATTATGTCTTTCAATTTCTCAAGCATTTCCAACTTAGATTCGTGACGACCCAAAAAGAAAGCTGGGGTGTAATTCACAGCACCAGACGTCTTGGTACCGTTACTGATTTCAATTCCAAGATGGACCTTCAATAAGTCATTGAAAATTTCTAATCTGGTCTCGTTGCTCTCTTTTAAAGCGGCAAATTTGCTCTCCTCTAATTCGTACTCCATCGGATCCACTTCTAAATGAATCTGCGAGAAGACTACTTTTCCCCCGCTGCTGGGAAGCGTCGCTAATAAAATGCTCGGCGTATGCCAGGTCTCCTCCGTTCCGAGGACTTTTAATTCGAAAACATGCGTGTTTCCTTTTTTGTCTTTGATGCTTATGGAAGAGGGTGTCGAAGGGTCCTTCTGATCCTGGGAGAATTTCGTCCTGACGGGGGAGGCTTGATAGCAGAATATATGGTGCATCATTCGGACGTTCTTCCATTTTCCGTAAGAAAAGTGGACGAGCTCGTTCTCCCGGACCTCGGCAGTTTTGAACAACGGAAGCAGGATGTGGATTATGTCCGAGCACAGAGCTAAGAGTTTACCGCCGCGGAGGATGTACTCGACGATGCGGTTCCCAATCTCGCTGCCTACGTTCCCGCAGACGACCACCAACACGGCGTTCTCTATCCAGGCATCGTTCCGAGCCTCCGAAGAGGACAAGGCATAAATGGTGTACCTGGTCGCAAATAGTGTAGTTTCAAAAGTTCATGCTCTTCGTTCCCTTCAGATCGGGATAGGAATCTTAAGCTGCGTCGGATGTTCTTGCAGGTATTTTGGGAAAAGGAGTATGATGATCGGTATCTCTTCGGGAAGTCCCAACTGATCATTCCTGCACGGGATTCGGGGCAACTGTGCGCGTAACAAATGATACCACATGCACTGCTGGTTTGATGAGAGGAAAATGACGTAAGAAAAATAGATAAAACAAGTACGAACGAGTAAACGCGAGTGACGTGATTTTTCCCTGGTTGTAATAATATTATACAAAAATTATGAACGGACAAAAAATATATAAGATGCACAAAATAAATGAGCTTTTAAAAAGAGGGGAGCAGGAAAGTAAATAAAACACATTAAAAAAAATTTTTTTTCTTTATCTTCATGAAGCCGTTGATCGAGCCACTGGTGAAACTGTAATTTGATTATAAAGAATAGTGCGTCGTGATACATACCTTTCTGTTCCTAAGAATTTCTTCAACGCAGTTTTCACGTTATTTCTCGCTATCAAGCTGTCAGCGTATATTAAAATATTCGGTGGCTTCACATTCTTCGTCGATAATTTCTTCGTTATCTCCGTCATAGAACTCCTTTAGAAAGAAACAGGATGTTATCAAAGACAATTGCATTTTTCTGTCGCAAGTATACTTATATGTACTCACTTTATGGCACTCGTAGAAGCTGCCTTCTGAGTACGTTTGGTATCATAGAACGCTTTCTCGTCGAAAGGTTTATTCTTCTCTTTGATATCGCTGCAAGAGGCTTGTTTTGTTTTTATAGTATCGGCTAAATCGTCTAAATTATCGAGCGTGTCCAACGACTTGCTCCCGGAATGTGGAACACCTTTGTATTCAATGGTATCTTCAACTGCTTCGTCCGAAAGTGATTGGTACTCGAGCTGAGCTTTTGCCGAAATCGGTGTGGAAACCTCGCTTCGACTTTTATTATCTGGAAAACGACGATAATAACTTTATAACATTATTGTTATATGTATNCAATGGAGCTCTAAACAATATATTTTTAAAACAATCCATAAATCATTACAGTATCTGTATTTTTTTTTTAATAAAATAAATCCACCAGTAAATGAAAAAACTGAAATACATTATTTATCATTAATCAAGAATTTATTAATTTTTGTGCAATGTACTCGAGGAGGTACGTGTTTGTGAAAAGGAAGAGGATGTGCAAGTTCTATTCTGATAACGTGAAAGTTGAAATCGAGAAAGAAAAATGTGAAGCAAAACCGTTTAGTGATATACCTGGCCCAAAATCCTTCCCAATCATCGGGACGTTTTACAAATATTTACCCCTGATTGGTAAGAAATTCTAACGTACACACGATGACTTAGTAAGAAATATTCAAATACGATGATATGTCGTTTGATGATTTTATAAAAACCGCATGAGTCCGCATTATCTGAGAAAGCAAAATGAACTTTGTAATAAAATCAATCGCGCTACTGGAGAATTTTCTACGTTTCTTTACTGACTCGTTGATAAAATATTGGTAGAATATAATNATTCTAAATAGATGGATTATAACAATTAAAACACAGGTCGATTTTGAATGAATTATTGAATTGTCTTATTTACATGTTGAATTTTATACTGTTTTATGCATTAGGGTAGCGTTAGACTTGGTATCTCGCAAGAAGATAGATGCGAAATCGAGGCAGAATAAGTCATTGCTAAACGCTTACTTCGAGAACCCTGCCATTGACATTAAGGACATCGTTGGCATGGCTTGCGACATGCTACTCGCTGGTATAGACACAGTAAGTACTGTAATTCACACGGATCTTAAAATTAGAATATAGAAAAGATCACTATCAAAAATCGATGTTCACTTGCTGCGCTTATACTACAACAAAATTTATGTACAAATACAGACTCACTATTTATTCCAAGAACTATTTCGACTCTATACGTGTAGAGCATTTAGTTAAAAGTTTAATTTAGATGAACGAACTGATTTTAGACGACTTACAGTACAGCTTTTTGCCTGTATCACCTCGCGAGAAACGAGCACGTTCAAGAGAAATTGCGATCTGAGGCTGAACGCTTGTTAACTTGTGCCGATCAACCGTTAACTGCGGACGCTATACGGAACGCGTCTTATACAAAGGCCGTGATAAAAGAGAGTCTCCGGTTGAACCCAATATCCGTGGGCATTGGCCGAATTTTACAAACCGACGTCGTTCTCAATGGCTATCTGGTACCAAAAGGGGTCAGCTTCACGCACATTATAATATTAAAGTAGAGGAGCAATCAAGTCTTTAGAATTTTAATTAGACCGCAGATATTTATACGAAATAACATTTTTTTTTAATCGTTTAAACATTGCAAAATTTATTATAGACCGTCGTCGTGACGCAGAATCAAATTATTTGTCGCCTCCCTGAATATTTTGACGAGCCCGACTCGTTTATACCGGAACGGTGGCTGCGCGATCAGTCGGAAGGTGATGAACGATTGAATCCTGGTAAATCGGTTCATCCCTACGTTCTGCTACCGTTCGGTCACGGGCCTAGATCTTGCATTGCAAGACGTTTCGCGGAACAAAACATGCAGGTCTTATTATTGAGGGTAAGGCGTAAAAAATGTGTAATTATATTCCCTGGAATGAATTATCGTACGTATTAATTTTTACATGTTTTTAATTGTAGATATGTCAGAGGTTGAAGTTTCGGTGGGATGGGAATGAACTCGGCATGACGTCCGTTTTGATTAATAAACCGAACGCTCCGCTG